TCCATGTCTGGCTTCTATTGACAGATTCCTTGGCTCCACTTTTGATGTGGGTTCGATTCTCGGACCCGTCGGTGACTTGTCAGCTTCTTCCTGTCGACTCTGTCTTGGGATGGTGGTCGATGGTGGGTTCGACGGTTTCGCCTTCGTTTTGGGTCCGATTGCTGCAGGAGGAGCGTGGTTGGGGCGTTGGGTGCGGCCCTGGCGGCTCGGCTTGTCTGAGTTGTGGCGGCCGGGAGATGAGGGGTTTCGTTTCTGGCCCTCGAGTCCCCTTTCCGCTGGTGTTGCGGCTTTGGGACGCCTGTTCGCTTGAACCTAGGCCAGTGGTGTTGGCCGGGTCTCGGGTTGCTGGCGTGTCGAGGACAGGTCGATACTTCTCTGGCTTCGGGACGGCTTCATCCTTGGAGTGGTTCGATGTTTGGGACTTGTTCCTTGCTAGGCATTAGGCAGTGGCGGGAGTGGTGTTCTGGATTTTGGATCAAGCTGTAGGATGATAGTCTTTTCGCTGGTGCTTTGGGTCTGTTTTAGCATTTCGCTGGGGAAGGGCCTTTTTCGTTAGTAGTATAGTTTTCTTTTTTTGTTATTGTTTATGTTTCTTTTTCGTGTTTGTAATCGTATTTTAGGTTTGGGCCGTTGGCCTCGGTTTACCCGAGTGTGACCTTATTATCCCATTGGGAACCCACACTCGGGCATTACCCTGTTGGGGTCTTTCTAGTTTGTTTTGGTTTTAGTTTGTGTTTGGTAGTTCGTGTGTCGGTTTTAGTTGCGAGTGTTTTTATTCTAGCATTGCTAGTCGGGATTCTAGGCGGTCTTCTGACCTATCCTCCCATTTTTTCAGTTGTTGACTGCTGTGTATTCAGCCGTTGGCTGCTGTGTATTCGCACATTTGTGCATTTTGATTTATAGTATTATCTATCGTTTTGGAAAAAAAAAAAATAATTGTATTTGGTTGATAAATAATGATATGTGCCAAATATTTAAGACATTTGAACAAAATGGCAATTTTTGGGCCATAAAGAAATATATTGATTGAATGATAAAAAAAAGCCCAAATTAGAAGTCCACTTAATTTTTTAGGGTAGCCAAAATCAAATATAAAATAGGTCAATGATAACATGACTATGAATAGAGATAAACTCCTTGAGTGATGTAAGTCAATTTTTTTTTTGTTTGATGTCGGCACTTATTTCGTTATTATCTTTGTCTGAAATCCTAATCCTTAACCCGATCTTACGACAAACTCGGCGAGATTCAATACAAAACAAATGTTTTACCGGAGATTTTCTCCCAGTAATGGATTTAAAAAAAAACGAAAAATGTTGTTTTTGTGGCTAACAGTAGTGATCGAAAAATAAATATTCATCTCGATTTCTTAATATTTGTTGCTAAATCTTAACATGTCGGTCAAAATGGGGAGATAATATTACAAATCTATG